ACTTGATAACCAACTCAAGCAAATAACATCCTACTTTGTTATTGATAAAGTCTGCTAATTTTAAAGGAGGAATTGGCTATGTCTTCTTTACCATTAAATAAAAATTTAGCACACTATTAATAATTTTTTCTTTCTTATAATAGGTAAATGCAGAGATTTACAATCACTGGTAGAATGAAGAAATTTCTTAAAGGAGTTTTTGAAAAAGAGTGTGTATTAAATCTTAAAAATGTAAATTTTTTTTTTTTTTTGATGTTTATACTTCATATTTATTATCTGACTTCTTATTATTGGATTGTATTTGTTCCTTCTTATTATTGTCAAGGTACACTACTCAAATACATTTGTTAGAAGAAGATGAAAATATTACATTTAAAATCTTTTTCAAAGTTCATAGCTGTATTTTTTTAGTATAACTGTCTAAAATATTAATAATATGATTTTTTATTGATTAAATACATTTATTTTATAAATTCAATTTTAGGAGAGTTTGGATTCAATTTTTCCTAGACTTTTTCTGCATTATAAAGATTAATTTTTTTTTTGTGACAAATTTTTTATTTAAAATATTTAAAAAAATATATAAAATTTTCCATATAATGCAAATGTATTTGTAACTAATAAGTTTCAAAATAATATAATAGCGTAATAAAATCACATTTTTGCTTCATCTGATGCACATCAGCTGTCAGATGACGCAATCATGCAAATCGCTTAAAAAATTATTTGTAAAACTCTATTTTGCCTTTATTATTTGAGAATATTTATTAACATATGTAGTAATAGATAATTTTTAAAAAATTACGGGATTTATTATTTACAAGGAAAATAAAGTAAGCTGAGGATTTGGATCGACAAAAAGTATTATTTTCTGAGGCGCAGGAGAAAGTTTGCAAAAAGTTTCCAAAAGTCTGAATTTGTGCTTAATTTATATGCATAAAGAAAAAAATGGAATTTTTTTCACCAAAAAAGAAATTCCAAAGAAATTTATCACATACTGTAGATTATTGTAAATAGCTAAAATTTGCATTATAATGAAATTTCATGCAATTATATGCAAAGTTATTATGAAAGAAGAAATTGAAAATCAGAGATGATTTTCTGTTCTATAAAAAAATCCCCAATATATTCTTATATGGGAGTTAATGGAGCTTTTATGAAAAGAAAAATGAAATATAAAAGACTTAAAATAATATCCTTGCGTTAAATCTTTCTCCTTTCTTTAACGCTAATAAAATATCAAAAAATTTATAATTATATACGTATAAATACTGATAAAATGATAAAATGACATATCATTTCAAACCGAAGTAACCAAAGCATTTGAACAGTTACTTAAAACTGAAACGGATTATAATGTTATCATTTACGCTGGAAAAATACATGATTCTAAGGAATTTCATGCTCATTCTAATATCTTACGATGTAAATCAAAATATTTCGATAATATAATTTCCGATAAAAATATTGAGAAAAAAGATGAAAAATATGTAATTTATAAACTGAACATTTCTCCTCAAGTTTTTGACGTTATTCTTAAGTAAGTTATTTTAAATAAAATACAATTTTTACAAGCATATTTCATTTATTTACAATTTTTTTTTTAGATATCTTTATGCTGATTATGTTTATATCACAGACAAAATTGGAACTGAACTTTTAAATATTATAATCGCTTCAGATGAATTAAATTTAGAAAATTTAACTAGGTTTACTAAAGATTATATTGTTAAAACATCGCCAATTATTACAAAATGATCCGGTTCGAGCTCTTCAAACTGTTTTTTATTATGAATCTCTCATTAATTTACGATATCTTTGCTTGGAAACAATTTGTATTGAACCAGAAAATTTTTTTAATTCAAATAAATTCACTCAACTATCTGGTCAATTATTGGAAATCATTTTAAAACGTGAAGATTTGAATATAGAAGAAATTGAAATTTGGGAAATATCATAGTTAAATGGGATTGGCACAAGAACATAATTTTAGTAGAGATGTATCTCAATGGAATCAAAATGATATTATGACCTTTAAAAGGATTATTTGCAGGTTTATTCCTTTAATTAGATTTTATGATATATCTCCTAAGGTTTTATATGATCGAAATTAAACCTTATGAAAAAATTTTATCAAAGGAATATAGAAATGATCTTTTGAATTATTACATGATCCCTGAATACAAGCCAAACCTTAATAATTTAGCATCAAGATATTTAAAAGATATTAATTCCGTGATAATTGATCAAAGACATGTTACAAATTGGATTGATAGAAATAAGGAAAGAAAATTTAGTCTCTATATATTTAATCTTTTATATAGAGCTAGTAGAGATGGTAATACGGCCACAGAATTTCATAAAAAAAATGTGATAATAGGGGGGCTACTATAATTGTATTAAAAATTAAAAATTCTGAAGGAATAATTGGAGGATATAATCCACTTGAATGGGATTCAACAAATGGTTCTTTTAAACGCACGAAAGGTAGTTTTTTATTCTCATTTACAAATAAAAAGAACGTCCAAACGGCAAAAGTAGGTTATAGTAATGGTAATAAATACTCTATAGTTTGTTATCCATATTTCGGTTTAATATTTGGTTATAATATATATTATCTGGAACTTATGGACCCGTTAATTCTACTATATTCATATATATTCTATACATTATCATAATTTGTAGTCTCCTTTTATATGGCGTTTGTTCACGGTTTATCGACATATAAAATGATCGAATGTACGCCCAAGTCATCCAGTGCTTGTAAGAGAATAAGAGTATTACCAATTAATTAATATTTATATGATAGAACAGTTGTATGATTATTATACATAACTTTACATTTTAAGCAAGTAAATTATTTCCAATAAGTATATCAGTTCGTTTGAATTTTATAAAGCTTTTTATCTTATAAATAAAGTACATACGTAATTATAGATTTATTAACATTTTTGTTTAAAGATGAAACTTCTATTATTCTTTAGCTATTAACCATTATATTTTCAACTTTCAAAAAAAAAGCAAACTTCTACTAAATATTATCTCAACATTATTTTCATTAATTCTAAAACTCTATAATATCTTTGACTTAATTCTATAAATCTATATAATAAATTAAATAAGAGAAATTCTCTAATGTTAAGCTACAATATCAAATTAAATATATAATAAAAAAAATACTTGGATTTTCTATGAACAATGACAAAGCTTACTTCAATAATGGGTCGGACTGACAAAAGCTGAGATCTTTATGTATTATTTAAGTTCCCTGTACATTTGGATAGTTAAATCATGAAACGTGATGATAGTTTTTAAATTATGTAAAGTTTTTAAGTTATATAACATACAATTACGATTAATACAATTGGATATTAAAAATGAAATAAAAAATTTTAAAAATAAATTAGCTCGTTATGGTGCGATCATTGCGTTTAATTTAATAAAAAGAACAACGAAAAATAATTTAACGAAAATATATTCTTTATTTACAAGAAAGGGTTAATTATAATATTTAGATACATCTTATAAAACCTTAAAGAATATTAATCAAAAAAAAAATTTTTTTGGACTATAATAACAACCGATCAGCAGCTAAAAGTTAAATTACTTGCGGTTATATTGAAATTTATTCGTTTATTTTGAGTTAATCTGAACCTAAAAAAAGTAGTACCGTAATTCAAATGAAATTTAGTCTAAAGATCATTTGAAACCGGTCCATAAGACCGTTTATAAAATCGGTCTGGCCAAGTCCATGTTTTTTTTTGGAACTGATAAGTAAGTGCTCCCTCTTGCTTAACGTTTACCATTAACTTGTTGTAATAAAACATCAACCGGATATCCCATTTCTTTTAAATCTAATAAAGACGAAATTAAAAGTGTGTTAACAGCAAATATATGCTTCCACCCATGTGATTTGTAAATATTCCTGGCTATATGTTTCGAAATATCAAGCGTAGTCGAATTAGATGTGATATAAAGAGCCCAAGAATCCATTTTGTTATCTTCTCGAAGGATGCTAGTATTATTTTTCTTAGTCTTTCTAGTATTTTCTAATGTATAGCTTGTTTCTATATAATCAATCTCTCTAACTTTTAATTTTTTAAGCCACTCATCATCATTTTTAATATCATTTAAAGGATATTTAAAATAATATAAACTTGCTCTTTCTATAATTATCTCTTGAAATTTTTTAGATTTATCAGTTACTCGGATACTGCCTTTTGGAGTTGAAGCTTCTATTACAGAATCACGTAATGATTTACATCCTAATTTCTAAATAAGAAAAATTCTAAAATTAATGCATGTTGTTCGTATAATTATAATAAAAATTAGTTTATACCTTATATAAAATTTCTAAGTTATCCTCTTCTGGAGCTGTCAATGGATTAAAGATTCCTTGATATATTTTATCATCATTTATATAAATTTCTTTGGCCGTACCTAAACGATAATTATTGGCTTCTCTCATTTCAGAATTGATTTCTCTATTTTTTTTCGTTATAGAAACTAAAATTGGCGCTTTCTTCATTTGTGAAACTAAACCTATTTTACTGGCCATATTTCCAAAATTACTAAAGCCATTAGCGATTTTCCTCAAAATATTTAGATATTTTTCTACACCAATTAATTGCCACAATTCATGTGATGATTTTACCAATAATTCAGCATATTCTATTGAAGATGGTTCATCCTTAACACCACAACTTTGCAGAAATCTATTGGCCTTTTTTCCAAAATCAATTTGTAAAAAGTGATCTTTCAATCTAATAAGAAGGATTTTTTTTAATTTTAAATTAAAGATAAAAAGAGAGAACTTATAAAGAGAGAATAAATACGTACTCATCTTGAAATTTAAAAAAACATTTACATGGTCTGGTAAGGAAAATTCCATTAGATTGATTTCGAATCGGAATAAAGTCAAAATTAGCAAGTTTATTCCAATCAGAATGATTAAAATCTGCTTGTCGAGACGACAAATATCCAAAAATTTTTTCCGCATTAATCTCATCTCGTGGCAGATTCTGCAATAACTTGCTTAAAAGCTCTTCCCGATTAGGATTTTGACGAACACCTAATTTTCCCACTTGATGCTGCAAGCCTCTATTTATAACTTTGAAACTCATTACCGTGCATTCAGGATTAATAAAACATTCTAAAGGTTTTGCGTAATTATCATGCAAACAAGGCAAAAATGCAACGTTTATTTCAGCTGCATAATAATTTCTATAATATTTTCTATCAAAATTATTAATAAAATATCTGAGAGCTTTGTAACGAATATCAGAATAAGTTGTAGGCGCTGCCAGCTCCAGAATTTTTGTAATTGTAGGACATTGTTGTATACCCAACTCAATCAAAAACCTTTCTAAAAAATTTAATTAACTATAATTAAAAAAAATGTACACAATAAATAAATAATGATGAATGTATGTACGTACCTTCTGGTGTGTTACGAACCCATCTTACTTTCCAATCAATTACCGGTAAACCAAGATCGCGATAAAGTTCTAAAGGTATATGTAGATCACTAATAACGAAATGTTGAATTTGTTGTGAACCTTGATTATACTTTGGCCAGATGCTCCTGCTCTTTAACATATTTTTTTCATTTTGTTTAAGATCATTTGACTTTGAAGCAAGATATTTTATAAGTTGCATATAATCACAATCATCATGATTAGTAAGACGATCAATAATGAGGTTTATTTCAACAATCTACAAATAAATTTAGAAACTTAGTTTAATCATAAAAAAAAAAAAAAATTAGAAAATGTTTGGTTACCTTTCGAACGCCGAAAAGCTCCATTAAATCCTTAACATTTGAAGATTTTTGAAAATTGATCGTTGGCAAGTCAGGAAATAGATTTACACCTTCAAAGTAAGCCTCATTGGGAATTTTCATTCCAAATTTAGTTGGAATACATTTCTTTTGTTCAAACAACTGGCGAAGTAATCTTTTGTCATCTATTGAAAATTTGTTAAAATTTCCCGCTAAAATCTCATAAACCTTTTCAACGAATGTAGGGTCCGTTTCCAAATTAGGTTTGTTGCTAATAAACCTCGCCCAACCAACTAAAGATAACTCTGACCATTTAAACCATTTTATAAGATCTTGGCTTTTTAAATTCTTAGAAATAGTATATGACAATACATAATCCGGTACATCTACGCTGGACGGAATTATTTCTGGATTCAAAAAACAACGGATTGTTTTCAAAGGTCGAAAATCATTACCAATACGTGCAACTTCCATGAACCGCTCAAAATTTGATGTATCAATAATATTCCCTTTTGATAAATAGGAAATCAACCATTTCAAAAGTTCAAACATTTCATTTTCGGAAAATTCTCGATTTTCCAATTCAATTAAAACATCAAGAAAATTCAATTCTCTTATAAGTTTCATCGATTGTGCTTTCTTAAAAAATGTTTTACATTGTTCAAATATAATCGTTGGAACAAGTGGGACGGTTTTTATGAACCCTAACATCTCTAGGTTAGGAATGCGTACGTCAGATATCTGGAGGATGCCGGTTGTTGAAAGAATTGTCAATTTTTCTTCTGAACAATTGAAAAATTGGGACTCTGTTATTTCGCCAACTTGCTCATTTGGTGTAGTTGTATTAAAGGTGAAGTGAGTCAAAGCACGTGCTGCACATTCTTCCAGCCATTTAAGACTTTGAGTATTAACGATCCTTCTGTTTATTTTAATCATTTCATTTTCATACAAAATTCTACATAATGTCCCTGCTAAACATAGAATCTCACTATTATATTCAGCCAAAGTCATATCCAATAAATCTATCGATTCTCGTTGTACCTAAATAATGAAACTTTAATATTAACGAAAGAAAATTAACTCTTTTTTTTTAAAATTAAACCGAATATACGTACAGTAGGAATTACACGAGCTGATAAGTGAAAACAATATCCTGTAGTTTGATGAGTAGAGAAACCGATATGTACCCGTCCTTGCTCCGGATATGGAAACAAGTCTTTGAATACCGGAGAAACACAATCTCCGAACGAGTTTTGTTCATCAAATTTAGTATAAATCATTTGAATTGTTGTTTCACGTGGTAGTTCTTTTTTTGTAATACGTTTCATCTCCGCAGAAAACTCATAATCTGCTCTAACGTCCAAATTTCCACTTACAATATTAAGAAATATAGTTGATGGACTTATTTGATTAAATTTTCCCGTACAAATATCTGGAACAAGTAATCTCTCAATGTTTAGTTGAACGTCTCTAAAATCTACCGAAGCAAGATAGAACAACTCATGTGAAGAAAGCCTATTGAACTCGGGTGCGATCTCCATTGTAAATTTCGGCCCTTGTATTTTTTTTGATAGTTGTATTACTAATTTGTCATTAAAATGAACAGTTATTTCTTGAAGATATTCCGTAAATCCCTTATTATAATGGAAAAAAAGATATTAATAAATTAATACTAAGTGATTATACGATATTATTTAAATAAACATACCAGTGAATTGACCAAGAACCGTGCGAATTCTTGAACGTCCGGCAACTAGTTTATGAAAAAAAGCAACATAGTGAGTGATTTAGGTAATAAATTTAACAAATTTATATAATTAATCACCTCTATAGGTTCTCTCATATCAAATAAAAACGTTGTCCAATCATCGTCAGATTCCCGTTCTCCCTGCTTTGTATATAAATTATTTTCACGCCAATAGAGAGTCATTCCTTGTCCACCGGAAGAAACACTATCAAATTAAGCGTAAATTAATATTAATTAATAGTTTACGTAACGATACTACTACCTGTTACTTACAATGGGTCTTCACAAACTGTAAACAATGAATAGAAGCCTACGCCAAAAACCCCTATCTGTTAATAATATAAAAGTAGAGTTAGATTGATTAACTAATTTAATTTAACGAGAATTTTTCAACAATATTACTTTTTTCTTATCTGGATTTCCTTCTGCAATTTTTATTAACCGTTCCCAATCTTCGGATCTGAAAGGGAAACCATTATTTTTGAAAAGAATTCGTATAACTTTATCCGTATTCATTTCAGTTTCAAACTTAATTTGGACACTTTTTGATTCCGCATCATCTTTATTTAATAACGATAATTAATCATTAATCATATAGCATATTATAAATCAATAATAAATAAAAATTTTTACCTGAATTTTGCAATAACTCTCGGTATATTACAAACTTGGAGGAATATCTAAAAATAAAAGATGAAAAAAAAACTTAAAAAATAATGAAAAGAAAATCTAAATTTAACTAAAAGGGCTTACCGAGCCAAAATCTTATCAATTAAGTCTCTTTTATTGACTCCGACTATTTTCTCTTCAGAACTCGATAAAATTTGATTTCTAAAATCGTTCACGGACATTTTTAATATCATCAAAAATGTAAAAAAAAAAATAAAATTAAGCAGCAAAATAAGAAATGAAATAAATTTATCAGTTGTCCGACTTCATATGCACCGCGAGGTAAATTTCCTTATAAATTTATTTCTAATTATTCAGTAATGAATTTAAGGCTTTGTAACACGTGCAAATTATTAACCCGATTTAAAGATTATCGTCATGGTTGACAGATTCTGCAATCACGTGACTGCATGACAGACGCGTTTCACTGTTTATATTTTATCTGAGAGACTTTGTTTTTTTCAAGTATACGAACGTGCTGTCATATTAGATAATAGATAATTGCGCCACATATGCGAGGTTTATCTAATATATAGTAAAAAGTATAAATAACTAATCAAAATTTTGAAGATTGAAGTTTGAAATTTTTAACTCAATTAATGGCTGTATATTATCACTTTATATAGTAAATCAATTATAACGCTAGCAAATAAACGCTCGCAAATAAACTAAATAAAATGAGTACGAGAACCACATATTTAAATGAAAGTTGGTCCAGTATTATTTTCCGTATTGCTGAAGCGGTGATTCTAAATCGTGATTTTCAATGCACCAATATGTTTTCAACTGTACTGTACATTTTTTTTAAAAGGAGGAAAAAATTATTTGACAATAAAATCATTTTGAAAACATTACCAAAATTATATTCCTAATCTTCTAACGCTAACGAAAAGAAAACTAAGATTCTAATATACGGCGACTGTGAATCTTTTATTTATAAATTTATTTGTAATTATTAAATAATGAATGCGCAGTAAAAAAAATTCGAAGGGAAGTTTTTTATTTTAGTTTAATGTTATTATTATTTTATATTTTATGAAAATATTTTTTTGGATCTTTCTCTACATTAAAAACTTGATTTAAAATCAGGTGAATTTATTATAGAAAATGGAAAACCTTCTTGAACCTAATAATATTTTATTCAAAGTTTTATTTTACCTATTTTTAATCATGTCATATTAAATATTCGAAAAATAAATACAATAATAAATATTTAGTATAAATATTGAATTCATTTATATCACTCAAATAGAACATAATTTTGCTTGATTTAAATAGTAGAATATTAAAATACATAAATTTTCATATGTGATAGTATAGTATAATAGTTTTTTAATAATTAAAGGATTTTAATGTCAATCCCAATTTTTGCAAGTGAATGGATAATCTAAATAATTCATTAAACCATCTGGCAGTTTTTTTTGATAAAATAAGCTTTTATTTTAAAATAATCATTATTAATATTGTCATATAAAAATTCTTGTGAATTATTTCTTAGCCGACTTACTATTATATTAGTATTTATATATGTATAAAAAGGAAATTTTAAAAGCTTTTTATTTTATTTTTGTATTCTTTAGAAAAGTACAGTACAACATTTATTTATTTATTTATTTTATAACCAAACAATATCTAGTTGTAGTAATGATCAGAGGTAATAAAACCAATTATATTCTTATTTTTCAATGGACGCCTCATAGAATAATTTCTTTTTTTAGAATTTATCAAGGAAATAATAATAATAATTAATTCCCGTTATGATTTAAATAACTTCTAATTAACTTTTTTATATATCATTTTACAAATTTTATTTTTTATTTTTTATTTTTTATTTTTTTTAAAACAAACAAAATGGCGCTTAAAAGAATTAATAAAGTAAGATAAAAAAATAATTTCAATAAAGTTTTATTATTTTTTTCAACTGCGGTTTCAGATAAAACTTTTTCTTTTTACGTACTGTATATATTACTAGGAATTGCATGACTTAGGAAGGGACCCACCTTCATGCTGTTGCGCTGGTCCTATTGGAGATGATCTTTATCATTGGCAAGCGACAATTATGGGCCCCGTAAATACTTTTCAGTTTATATGTATCAAAATTTGTATAAATTCATAGAAGATTCATTTTTGTTCCTATAACTTTGATTAGGCTGACACGCCATACTCAGGTGGTATGTTTTTTCTTGCTATTCATTTTCCTATAGATTACCCGTTAAAACCACCAAAGGTATATTTCATTTATATAGTAATTATATTGTATATATTTTAGTTGTGTACTTACTCATATATTGTCCATATAAGGTTAGCTTTACAACAAGAATATATCATCCAAATATTAACAGTTCTGGAAGTATAGGCCTAGATATTCTAAGAGATGCATGGAATCCAGCACTTACAATTTCAAAAGGTATTTTGTAATAATATATTATTATAAAATTATTATAAAATAATTATATCAAAAGAAATTAATAAAATTTTTATTCTTTTAAAAAGTACTCTTGTCAATTTGCTCATTTTTGTACGACACAGACCCAAGTATATTATAACATTCATAATTATCCTTGATTTAATTGATTTAAAACTAATAAAACAAAAATAATTAATAGTACATTTAGTACATCCACTTGTACCTGAAGTTGCTCACGTACTCAAGACCGATCGTGCTCGTTATGATGCTACTGCTCGAGAATGGACTCGTAGATATGCTGGTAAATATGTTATATGACATTTTATTTGATTAAATTTATTATCTAAACTATAAAACAAGTTCACTAACTAATGTTTTATTTTTAATCTAAATTTAAGCGTATTAATTATTCAATCATATAAATATATAAAATATTATTGATATTTATTTAATGACCGCAATGTATAATGCCAGATTTTTATAAATATTAGAAATAAATATTCTGGTCGATAATATACTTAAATATCTTTTTTTAGAACTTTATGAATTCATTCAAACGAAATAAACTATTTTCTAATAAGTATTTAAAATTATAATTTTGCCATTAATATTTATTTGACAAGGAACCATTGTGAAATCATTCTCTTAAGTAAAAACTGATATATTTGTAGTAAAATACTTAATAGTTATTCGGCACGAAGTGCCGAATAACTGTTATATTGGGTAAATCAAGTTTGATTGGTTGATCTGGGCTCCGCAGGAGCCCGAGATCAACTGATCAAACTTGATTCCCAATATAACAAGCTACCTTTAGGTAGCGTTAGTTATTCGGTTCGAAGTGCCGAATAAGTGATTTATCCGGTATCCCGTGATTTGATATTGCCTGATACACGAATTTTTGCCTGATACACGATTTTTTTTGCCTGATACACGAATTTTGCCTGATACACGATTTATTATAACCATTTTTAATTATAAAAAATCACGTGATACCGGATAAATAATTATATTTAACATTGTAGAAATTATGTGGTGCTTAAAAATAGTCAACCAGGTTGGGTTTAAAATATATTTCGAACTCAACATGTATAAACTGATATTTAAGGATAATATTAACGTCGAAACATGCTATAATATGATTAGCCAACTTTTTATTTTGATATATTTGACGTATTATGCAATTTAATTTACTTTCTATAACACAACTGCGTGTGTAATAAATAAGATGTTGATAGGTGTTTGGCAATGCAGAGGAGGTATTACACAATTCATTGTATTTTACAGTAATCCAAACGTAATGTTGAACATACAATAATTACATCATGTTAATAACTAACACCAATAATAGATGAATTTTCTTTTTGCTAATTATTAGTAGTATTCCATTCTAAATTTAAAATTAATAAAGACGTAAAAAAAAAATTTGAAGATATGACGCGGCATCAAAACGATTAAAAGGGCTAAGTCATTAAAAGTATTGAATAATATTTATTATTGACCTTAAAGAGATTCATCAAAAATAGATTGTCCATCATGATTTTCATACAAGAAATATTATATTAAAAGATATTTAACACTGCTATTCAAATTACATTTCAGATATGTATGGGATCATGTGACGAAGCTGCTAATACAGATTAAACTAAATTTATGGAGTCATGCCTTAATTGCCTTATGTAGCTCATGACATATATATATATATATCTTATACTCAAGTAGCAAATATATATAGCTTTGATATTATTATTAACTAAAAAACAATCCTTTTCTAATTGTGCTCATGATGAAATTATTAGCATTAGAAATATGTAAAATAATTAGACCTGAAATAAACGAAATAGAAGCACCTAAAAATTATATTGACCTAATGAATGGGATTCAAACCCGGTTAATAGGCTAAATGTTATTGAAGTAGAAAAAATGGATAAGTTATTTATTCAGAAGTATCAAATAATAATAGAATAGGGATAACGTTAACGTTAACCATAATGTGATGTGTTACGATTGATCGGCAAATATATACAGTAGATCATATGACATTTAAGTTATTGCGTCAACGAATAAATCTTAAAAAAGAATATAAAAAAATGATTAATAAATAAATAGATGTTCATAAATTAATGTACTGTAACTCAAACTTGGAATTTATATTTTCTTTACCAAAAAAATAAATTTATCTTTTCGAGCGAGTGGATATTATTTTTTAATTTATAAAATGGAAATTTAAAATCGGTATGACGCTTCAGTCGCTTCATATGGTGCGTATAAAAATAAATTTGACATGAGATGCATGATGCTTCTGCGCCCAATTATTATAGTTAAAAATGTATTTTTTTTTTTAATTCTTATAAACTGGGAAATTAATACTTTTTTCGGTTCTTGCTGTATAACCGGGAAATTTATTTTTTTAAAAAGTTATTTTTCTTTTTTTTCAAAATAAAATAATTTAATTGGTTTCAAAATATTTTATTTTTCAATTTTTTTTATTATTATTCATTTTTTTTTACTTAACTTAGTATTTATAATTAACACTAATATATCTGATTTAAACTACATTAAGCCTGTTGTAACGAAACAAGTTATAGCTAGTTAATGTTGGCTGAAATTATTTATGGTTTCATTCAATCGATTTTACTTTTATGCCGATCAATAGCGTTTTGGTTACTATATATAGACCAAATTTTTGAATGTTACACATGCGCAAGGACCTATATTTTGAATAAATTTTTTCATAACTCCGTGATTTTAAAAAAAAAATTTTTACGTTTCATTTAACGTTATCTTAGACTTTACTAAGTAAATATATACAATCTAAATTAATTTATTATGGAATTATCAAAAATGAATCCTAAAGAAAATAAAAGAAATTTATGGAAAAGAGTTTATGGAGGTAAATATCAGGTAAAAACAATTCATTTTATTATTTACTAATATAACATTATTGAATTTTTAATTTGAATAATAATGTTTTTTTTAAATCACTTATTTTAAAAGAAACATGTTACAATTTATACTGTTGGTTCAACTGCTGAATCAACAGAAGAGATAGATGAAAAAATAGTTTATATGGAAGATTTTGAAAAAAGAAAGCAAGCATATGGAATATGTGGTGAATGTAATGAACCTGGTACAGGAGAAGATTGGTGCCAACCTTGTAATGCTAAAAGATTAAAGGATAACTTTAAAAATTGGACTAGCGGAAATAAAAATATTGATGAATTTATACAACAATCACAACTTAATGCTGTGCACTATAAAAAATATTTTGAATGGATACCTTTTGAAAATTTTAGAGATATCGTTTATATTACCAGAGGTGGATTTGGTAAAATTTATTTAGCTGAATGGCCTGAAGGATATATTGAATATTGGGATATTAAAAATGGAAAAGAATTAGTGATATAAAAATTGCATTAAAAAGTTTGGATAATTCATCCTCTATAAGTGCAGAATTTTTAAATGAGGTAATTAAAATAAGAAATCCAATCTATTTACTTTTATTTTTATTTGTGTATTATTTATATATTATTAAAATTTTCACTTTCAATATTTTCATTAGATTAAATCTCATCTTCAGATTTATCTTTTTGATGTTATTCAATGTTATGGAATAACTCAAGATCCAAATACCAAAGATTATATGATGGTTTTAGAATATTGTAAATATGGAAATTAGAGAAATTATTATATGAATACTAATGAATTATATTATTCTTCAAAAATTAAAGGATTAGTTCGAATTGCAAGTGGACTTCTAGATATTCATAATGCTGGAAAAGTTCATAAAGATTTTCATTCAGCCAATATATTATATAGTAGTAGTGGTTCATATCCATTTATAAGTGATTTAGGAATGTGTCAACCAGCAAATAATGAAAAACAATCAGTTAAAAAAGAAGGAATTTATGGAGTATTGCCATATATGGCACCAGAATTTTTACGTGGATATCAATATACAAAAGCATCTGATATTTATTCATTTGGAATAATGATGAATGAATATATATCAGAAGAAACTCCTTATAATAATGTTCCACATAATCATGCTTTAGCCATTAAAATATGTAAAGGACTTAGACCAAATATTTTTAAATATACACCAAAATTACTTGCAGATTTGATTACTAAATGTTGGGATGCTGAAGCAGAAAATAGACCAACTGCTGAGGAATTGTATGAAACATTAAGTAAATTGCGTAGCCACAAATATGATATTAGTTCTCAAGCAAATGAATATGATGATAAAATCAAATTAAACAGAACAAGTGAAAAAAGATCTAAAAACATTCAAACACATCCACAAGCAATCTATACTAGTAGACTTTTAAATTTCAAAAATCTTCCAGAACCAATAAATTCAGGTAATTTAATTTAACTTTTATTTTGGTAACCAAAAAAATGTTTACATTACTAATAACTTTATTTTTGAATAGACGTTGCTAAAACAACAATACGTAAGTAATTATTTCTATTGACAATCAATATAATTAATAAATCTTTATATTGTTCTAATAATATATTAATGAAGTCATAGTTTTAGAATGTTTAGATTGTCAATTAGACGAATTAGGTAAGATATTTATTCTATAGTTCTTTATTCTGCTAATACTTATTAATTTGCTTATTTTGTAGATCTTGATGAAATTAATCAAGATGAAGAAAATAATAACTGAATGATTTTTTTTTTGAGAATCAAAGAATTTAGTTTAATTATTATTATATTATTAAATTATTTCTTTTATAGTTATTGTTTATGGTTTTTGTATGCAATATTTTGGTTTAATAAAAATATATTAAAAATTGGTTTGTTATTAGCTGACCATTTGGGCAAATTAATTTATCTCCAACTATTCAGAATATAAATAGTAACTTTTATTCTTGACGTAAAAACTTTAACATTTATGAATGTAACACATATTTTAAGGTATTCTAGTCTTGATTCAACTTCTATAAAATTCCTTAGCAATATTTTTTCTAAAATTACTGTAAGTGTTGGAATTAAATGCGGTGTGACGTTAAAAGATTGGATAATTTATATAATAATCTAAAATAATGAAGACTAAATAAAATTATACTAATTATAAGTTAATCACATAAAAGTCATTATTCTATGCAGTAACGGTAATTACGGTGTACCGTTTGAACGAAAAGTGCCAAAATTTCGAAAAATTGATTTTTCGATTTTTGAATTTTCAAAATCTCCTTATAAGGAGATTCTCCTTATAAGGAAAATCTCCTTTTATGGCAATGTAACGTTACACAAATGTCCAAATAAGGAAGTTAGTGTTACCAAATTTCCTTTTTTGGACGTTTTGTGTAACGTAGATCTATCCTATAAAAGGAAAATTTCCTTATAAGGCGATTTTAAAAGTTCAAAATTTCAAAATTTCGAAATTTCAAAAAAAAATTACCATAAAAGGGAATTTTTTTAAGATTTTTGAAATTTTGAAATTTCGAAATTTTGAATTTGAAAATCTCCTTTTAAGGAAATTTTCCTTTTATGTAAGGGATCTACGTTGCACAATATTTAATTTATAGTGCCAGCCAGAATTATAATCTCCTTATACGGAAATTTTGTTTAAAAATATTTTTTTAACAAATCTGGTGGCTAAACTATTTACCCGTATTCCGAAATCATGTTATTGTAATTCTGGCCGGAATTATAATTGATTTTATTAATTTTACAATTACTTGTGATCAATTTTTCAAAAAAGGAAATATTTAATTTCTACCAAAAATTGGATTAATTCTGGGCGGATTTAAGAAAATTATTAATGTAACGTTACACAAATTTCCAAAAAAGGAAATTTTACTTCTCGCAAAAATTGGAAATTTGGTTTCACAAATACTCCAAAAAAGGAAATTTATATGGTGATCACTTAATTCCGGCCAGCATTATAGCTTAATTATAGTGTGATAATTTTTTTAATATTCTTTTTAATATTCTTTTATATTCTTTAATTTTTATTTAATTTATTAGTAGTATTACTACAAAATTTTTTTTTTCATGATTTTTTGGCTAACATTATGAACCATATGATAAATAAGATCATAATAAATAGATTTTAATTACTGAAAGTGACAAATTAATGACAAGAATTAATACGATTATAAAGAAAAGAGCTGGGCTAGCTAGGACAACTCCCAATTTTATAATTTATGAAAAAGATATCTTAGGAGTTAAACATATTTATGACCTACAGATGGAAATGTTATGTAAGAATTTGTTATATCAAGCGAACGGGAATAACAAATTAAAAATTTTATTTAAAATTAAAATGATCCAAGAACAGAAAAAGTTATGGACCTCGAGATGTCCTGGTGAATTAGAAATAACGAATTATAGGAAAAACAACTGGATCATATCGGCATTAAAAGCATTAAATAACGAAAAAATAAAAATTTGTAATCATGAAATAAAAGATTTTAAAGATAATCACAGAATAAAAGGAGGGAACATAGATTTAATAGAATTAATCGAAGAAAAAGAATTTGCGACAAGTGCACAATCAAGGAAATCGAAAAATATAATGTTTTTAGAAGATTTATTGGAGGCGGACGGCATTACTTTATTAAAGTGGAAGCACTTATGTAAGGAACAAGGATTGAACATGAAAGGTAAAATACCGAAATGGTTCAAAAATTTAGAACACAAATTATTAGCAGATGAAAGTGGACAAGTAAGAAAAATAAAAAATGAATTTATAGGACAATCACAAAAAGAAAATATTCACGTCAATTTGTTTGATGAAAACGAAAAACAAGATAAAAGTAGCATTATAACTTGGAACGACAAAGGTGAATTTCCGATATTTAGTATAGATAGAAAAAAATCGCAGAGCAAAAAATATAAAAGAATAGGTATACATTTAATACTAGTCGGAGACCATTATGACCTACACAATTCACCTCGATTAGAAGAATGCAAAGGATGCTACAGAAATATTAGTAAGAAAAAGGGGAACAATGAATGTCTAATATATATAGAAAATGAAATAAGTAGGAAAATAGACAGAAGAAAAGAAGAAAATGATATTAAACCATACGAAACTCTAAATAACATAATTAAGAAAAATGAGTGGTTACGATCCTACACAATAGAAGAAAAAAGAGATGAGTTATATAATAAAAAGATAGAATTAATAGATAAGATAATAAAAACGAACGAAGAAAATTTCACAAAACTAATTAAAAATAGTATTTTCGAAGAAAATCAATTAAACTTGGAAACAAAACAGAGATTTTGCATATTAATAGACATTAAAAAAAAGAAATGGGATATAAATGTTGAAGGTAAACGAATTTATAGTTATAACGTAATTTGGAAAATCTTTGTATTAGATACCAAAGGAAATACAAATGAAGAATTGATATTTTTAGCGAACCATGAGTGTAATAACGAAAACGAATTTAAACTTATTTTACGAAGTATAATAGTGGGAATTTTGCTAATTAGTGAGAATAGCGAAGTAATTTTAGGAATTAATGAGAAAGTTAACAGATTAATATTTGAATTTATTAACAATTTCAGCAATAGGAAAAAGATAGATAGTGAATTTTATCTTGAACTTTTATTTTTAGAAGAATTTTTAGAAATGAATAATATCGAATTAATAGAAGAAAATGAAAAAATATATAGAATCATAAAAGAAAAAAGAAAAGAGATGCAAGAAATGCTAAAAAATAAGAATATAATTAATACGATAAAATATAATTTTGAATTAATAGATGAAGGTTTGACAACGAACGAATACAATTTAATTTGGAATAATAGATTAATAACAGGAGGATTTCGTTCTTGGAGAAAATCAGTAACGAATGCAATGTGGAAAAATGAAATTTTGAATAGTGAAAAACTAGAAGATTTATTCATGTACAATTATAGAAAAGAATTTGATTGGATTACAAGTCTAGAATTTATCAGTAACAGAGTAGAATTTTCACAAAGACAATGCGGTGCCAAAGATACGATCGATCGATCATATAGAATTAAAAATTTGCTCAAAGAACAACCCACATATAAAATTTTATACAAAAGAAATACTAATAAAATAGATACAGATAAATGTATAAGATGTGGGAAAAAAGAACAAGAAGATTGGGAACATATATGGACATGTGAAGATAATGAATTCTCAATCGATGAAATTATACGAGAATCACCATATAAATTTGAGAAAATTCTTTTAGAATCCAACCAAAGCGAAGAATTAGATATATTAAGAAACTATAATTGTGAATTTATTAACATAATTGAAAGCCCATCAAATATTTTACTAGGGAAAGGTAGAAAATGGGAAGTGATCAGAGGAATATATAACAATAAATTTAATGATTTATCAAAAGAGAAGAAAGTTAAAGACCTGATTAAAAAGCTCTGGATTTTTACATACGAAGAAATAAAGAAACGTATATGGATTCCGAGATGCGAAGAAATAAAAAGATTGGAAGACAAAGCTCAAATAAAAAAATCAGATTTAAGGAGGAAAAGAGACGGAAAAGAAATTCTGACGGAAGAATTTCGAGATATACAATTAGATAAAATTAAAAAACAAAAAACAACAGAAAAATTAGAAGAAAAAACGAAAAAAATAAAATTAAAAAAACAAATTAGTATAGTAACGTTAGATAAAATGAAAGGATCAATTACAGATGGAAATAATATAGCTAGATCTTGGGATACAACTATTAAGATAGCGAATAGTTAAATTTAGTTTTAGCATAGATAGATTTAGTTATAGTTTGATAAATACTTAGTTATAGGGTTTGATGAATATCAGGCTCTAGGTGTTTAATTTTAATTATGTATCTTATGATTAAATATAATTAATAAAACGCGTTACTATTTAAAAAAAAAAAAAAAAAAAAAAA